TTTTTTTTTTTAAAAAAAAAAAATGTAAATACAAGTTTATAAATCCTTTCTTGAAATAAAAAACAAGAAACAAAAATTCCAATCTTGAATTTTATTTTTTTCCAATTTTCTTGAACTAATGAACCAGCTTCATGCAGACCCATCTTGACTATTTTAACCAACCAACACATAAATCCAAGTTAAAAAATCATTTCTTCAAATCAAACCAACAATTAAAAATCCAATCTTTCATGCAGACCCAGATGCTGAGGTGATTGCCCTTTCCCCCAAAACCCTTTTGGCCACAAACCGATTCGTTTGTGAGATTTGCAACAAGGGCTTCCAGAGGGATCAAAACCTTCAACTCCACAGACGAGGCCACAACTTGCCGTGGAAGCTCAAGCAAAGAAACGGCAAAGAGACGAAAAAACGGGCTTACGTTTGCCCCGAGCCCACTTGTCTCCACCACCACCCGTCGAGGGCACTTGGCGATCTCACGGGAATCAAGAAGCATTACTGCAGAAAACATGGCGAGAAAAAATGGAAATGCGAAAAGTGTTCGAAGGTTTATGCAGTTCAGTCTGATTGGAAGGCTCATTCTAAGACATGTGGGACGAGGGAGTATAGATGTGACTGTGGAACTCTTTTCTCCAGGTAAATTTTTAATTTATTTAATTAATTTAATTGATTGATTAAGTGATTATTCTTGGTTAATTATTGACACGTTTTTGTTTAGTTATGAAATATTGTTATGATCTTATGTTTACTGAAAAATGATGACTATTAGATTTGGTTATTAACATTGGACTTACTATCTTTTTAACTCAAATAATAAGACAAAAAATAAAATAAAAAAACATTAGTCAATTCAAAAATTCTTTGGATAATAACCAATGGTAGTTCTTGTTTGTGGTGTTCTTAGTTTTAGTACAGAAAGCTATATATGTTGTGGCATTGAAATGGACAATGGGCATTAATACGAAGTTGCCTGGTTCAAAATAACAAGATTTGTTTGAAGACATTAGTACATATTTTAACAAATTAAAACTCAATACATCATTTAAAAAAAAAAAAAAAAAACCAAAGTACATAGTTTTCCATAAGAAAATACATTTAAGCAAACAGTAAAACTGTTGTTAGGCAGATTTTTAGACAATGTATTAAAACCGGGGAAAGAGGGTGCGATCCCACCAGATGAAGCGCACCATAAGAGGGTGAGCTTAGATGCACCTTAGTGAGGTTTCATCCCAAAATCAATTGGTGATAGGAGGAGTATCCCATTAGGCTTATATACTAGGCTCATTTTCCCTATAGAATCAATGTGGGACAACTCACAAGTGATATTCCAACACGCTCCCTCAGTTGTGAGTTCTTCGTAAGCCAAAGCCCACATAGCAGGCCGGGTAGAGAGATTAGCCCAAGCCCAAAGCAGGCCGGGTGAAAAGAGTCATTGCAGGTCTTAGGACAGGCCCGCTCTGATACCATATTAAACTGGACAAAGAGGGTGTGTCCCACCAGATGAAGCACACCATAAGATGGTGAGCCTAGATGCGCTTTAGTGAGGTTCCATCCCAAAACCAATTGACGATTGGAGGAGTAGCGCACTAGGCTTATATACTAAATTCATTTTCTCTATAGTGGATGCGTTGACATTCCACTTTTTTTCATTCTAATTATCAACATCGGAGGGAATCAATGTGGGAAACTCACAAGTGATATTCCAACACGCCCCCTCACTTGTGAATCTTACGTAAGCCCAAGCCCACATAGCAGGCCGGGTAGAGAGATTAGCCCAACCCCAGAGCAGGCCGAGTGAAGAGAGTCATTGCAGGTCCTAGGACAGGCCCGCTCATAAGATGGTGAGTCTAGATACACTTTAGTGAGGTTCCATCCCAAAACCAATTGGTGATGGGAGGAACAACCCACTAGTCTTATTTACTAAGCTCATTTTCCTTATAGTGGATGCGTTGACATTCTCCTTTTTTTCATTCTAATTATTGACACCGAAAGGAATCAATGTGCGATAAGTCACAAGTGATATTCCAACACAATCATATAATACTTTAATTGATATGCAAATTTTCAAATTGAATTTTAAACAACACAAACAAAAATATCCCAACTTGCAAGTATTTGGTAAATAATGATATTATCTATATCCCAAAAAATAAATTTGATGAACAGTGTTTGGACTCTTTTTTCAAAGGATAAAACTATTGAAAACTTGAATATTTGGGGTGATCATCATCATGATTCACGGCCATGGGAATCCCTGCAGAGAGAAAAAAAGAATATTTTTCATGGATGTGTCACTATTTTAACTGTGAGGCTGTAAATTCTGAAGTTATAATCATCAAAGCTAGGAAAAAAAAATATATATATATATAAAATAAAATGATAAACTCTGTGGAAAAAGTCACTTGCCATTAATTGTTGTTGCGTTGTTTTCCACATATATTTTGCCTCTTTGATTTGTACTTTTGTATATTTGTGTGATTAATAATATTTTTTAAAAAAAAAAAAACTCTGTGGAAAAAGGCATTCAGCTGGTGGTTGTCCTCCCACTCTATTCAGCTGTTGGCTGATCGTATTCAGCTGATGGTTATACTTTTGTATATTTGTGTGATTAATAATATTTTTATCGTTTCGAAAAAACAAAAAAAAAAAGAAAGTTACACATTGTGAAATAATAATAATAATAATAATAATAATAATAATTTAGTAATTTGCACATGCACACACAGACACCAATGTGGGTCTGTGCGTGTTTTTTTTTTGTGTGTGTGTGTGTGTGTTTTACGAGGCTTTCGTAATTGTGGAACATTTGTTCTGTGCCAACTTTTTTTACTCAGTTATATATATCAGTGATGTCCCTTTTGCTCGTTTTGGCATGCAAATACGTAACTATCATCTTTCTCTCTCTCTCTCTCTCACGCATAGGGGCTTGCGAGCAAAATATTCACCTAGATTTTCTTGTTATTTTTTGAAAAAATTATATTAAAAATTGTCCTAGTCGCTACTATTTTTTGAATAATAGTGTTTTTTGGGAGATTCTACGGTCTCGTTACGGAACCATTCAGTCGGGGTTTGTAACTGTTATATCAATTATTCACGACGATTACTTGATGATCTAACGGTTACAAATCTCGATGGAATGGTTCCATAACGGGACTGTAGCATTTCTCGTTTTTTTTGTAGGTATATATCTATAGAGAAAGATTATTTATTAAGTTGCACACATAGGTTGATATATGTTTTAAAAATTTACCATTTTAGTCAAACCAAAATTTGGTTATTTCCATGGGTGTGTTTTATGTGGTACATTGGCCTGACATTAGAAAATGTAACTAATATTGTTAGGTTGTTTAACCATTTCCTAATTATATTTTCTTATAAAAATATTATACATTTATCTATATACTAATGTAAAATATGACGACGATTTGAGTGTAAGCCCTTGTTTGTTTGGTGGGATATGATTGAACTATTTTAGTGCCAATGTGAGGAATTGTACTGTTGGGATAAAAATTATATCTTGTAAAAGTACGTACAACTTTCTATCCAAATGAACACTTGTGTCTCACAAACTAGGTTAACATACTTAATGTCATGGCATATGTTTGATATATGTATGCATATTCAATTTTTATCTTCTTCCTCCTCAAACATATATATGATCAATATACAATAACATTCTTTCATTTTTGAATTGAAAGCCCGATTTTGCCCTCATATATATACAAATCGATCTTATTGCAGGAAGGACAGCTTCATCACCCACCGTGCATTCTGCGATGCTCTTGCCGAGGAAAGTGCTCGTCTTTCTGCGGCCACAAACAACCCGATCTTGACCCCAAACCCAAATAACCACCCGATCTCGGCCCAAAACCCTAACAACTCAACTCTATTCCACTTCAATCCCCAAACTACCCTTCCAATCTCCGACCACAGTCGCCGCCACCCGTGGGACCCACCGCCGCACCACCACCGCCAAAACCCTAATAATAACAACCATCCCTTCAACATCATCAAACGGGAAAACGGCGTCCACGTCATCAACAACTTGGACTGCATCATCAACAACAACAATAACCACTCGATCCTCGTGCCGCCGGCCACCGGAGGTGGCCCACCGCCACTGCCACTCTCGGCCACCGCGCTCCTTCAGAAGGCAGCGACGACGGTGGGAAGCACCCAATCGGGCCCCGTGGGGTCCGCCATGGCCCACCTAGACATGCACCACGTTGTGGGGCCCGCATGGAGCGGCGGAGGAGAAGACGACGGGTTCACGAGGGATTTTCTAGGGCTGACCGGAGGAGGAGGAGGAGGAAACATGGCCATGAAGTTTCCGGCGGTGTTCGATTATCCGGGGTACGGATTTGCGGCGGAGACATGCTTGGGTTGGGGCAAATATTAATGAAATTAATTATTGTATTTGCCTCATAACTTGTTCAAGACTTTATGTATTTCTTTCTTTTTCTTTTTCTTTTTCTTTTTTTTTAATTTTTTGTATGATCTTAGGGAGCATGCGAATTTTGTTACCCTACTGTACCTCAATCATTTTCGAATTAAAGACGGTGAATTAAACAGTCGGAAATTGATAATTTTAATGCCGCTTTTCTCAATGATTGTAAATTTCCATTGTACTATACAATTTACATTGAAAATACTTTTCCCACCAATATTTCCGGCTATCAGAAAAAATTGTCATTGAAATCGTGAAAATCCAACAAAAATTTACTAGAATTTTTCATCATAAGTTACATGACACTGAAATACCTATAGAATTATTGTTGAGATTCTATTACAGTCACTACGAAAAATTGTTATATTCCAACAAAAAATCTTATGGTAATATATTTTAATGGAAGGTTATTCTAAAGGTATAACTTCCATTGGAATGGTCCTAACGAAAATTCCAACGAAAATATTCCGTTTAAATGTGTTTTTCATTGAAATTTTTCCGTTGAAATGTGTTTTTCATTGGAATTTTAAAATTCCAACGGCTGCATGACCTTTTACCGTAGGAATTTCCGTTGGAATGTGTAATTTCCGTTTGAATTTTTATTTCCACCCCCGTTGGAAAATCCACCGTTGGAATAATCAAAATCCAACGAAAATTCCAATGGAATACTCATTCCAACGGAATATTTTTGTTGGAATTTCCGTTGTAATCCATTGAAAAATTCCAACGGAAATAATAGTATTGAGATATCCGTTGGAAGTGCCGTTGAAATAATTCTATTATAATAAGTTTCTGTTGAAATTTCTATCATTTTCTTGTAATGAGTATATTATACTACTTTGCCTTAAATTGGATGATATAATGTGTCACTCAAAATATTTTCACCTCAAGAATTCAAAGAGAACATTAACACAGGCAATCTAGTTAGGTAGTAATGCAGTACACAATACAATCATTGAATCAATTCTTTGAAAACTTTGCATTTGTTCTCTCCTCAAAAGCTTTTTTTGCCTTGGGCTGCATGAAAAACACAAAAGGACCCCTATCCGGGGGCTGGATCGAAAGCTGAACAGTTTTGCCTTGAGCTGCATGAAAAACACAAAAGGACCCTATACGGGGGCTGGATCGAAAGCTGAACAGCCTTTTCTAAAAGCGGGTTTTAGGGGACGTAAAACCTGCTGTAATAAGCGTGAGAGTGCGAAAAGCGACTTAAGTTCATGTGCAGTGCCCTCTATGTGGGTTTTTGTGCTGCACGGCTTCACTGTTAGTGGTGGTCCGGGTCTATACTGTTGTAGTGTGGTACAAACAATTTAAAGAAAGAACAATAGAAATAAATTTAAAAAATAAAAATATAAAATAAATGAAATAAAATAATGAAAAGAAAGAATAAAGAGGAGAATGAGAAATGTCAACGGCTATCACAAAGATGCTTGATTCATCATTAGATTTAAAAAAAATTAAAATAAATAAATGAATATATGAATAAAGTTTTGATATTGCCACTTAGCTTTATTAGGCCTCTTTTCCTATGGGGCACTCTCTATAAATTTCTGTGCACATATATATTGAGTCAACTCAATGTTTGACCCAATCCATATACAACACATACCCAAAATCATTACAGAAAACTACTCTTTAGATTTGACCTAAATCATTATCAAACAATTATCTCAACTATATCTCAGATAAAATCAGTATGTAATTGATGTGGAACTAACATAAATTGTTGCACCTTAAAAAATTACAAGAATCCATTGAGTGTTGGCATACACTACATGACAATTTATAAAATTAAAAACCATACACTACATGACAATTTATAAAATTAAAAACATATAATGAGGTTAACATTTTTTAGGGCTCGTATTTTTGGTTTGAACCGTTGGTTCATGTGAACCCGAGTGTGACCTTATTATCCTGTTGAGATCACACAATCGAGTATTATCCTATTGGGGTCGTTTTTTTCTTTTCTTTTCTCATTCTCCTTTTGGGAATTTGGTGTCGTGTCTTTGTGTTGCTAGAGTATTACCCTGTCAGGGTCGATTCTAGGCGGTTTTTCGACATGTCATCCCAGTTTATTCAGCTGTGGCTGTGGGTTTTCAACTGGTGACTGTACTTTTGTACATTTGTGCCTTTAATATAAAATCTCTATTG